CGTATACTCCGTTCATATTTCTGGCATTGATGGGCTATGTCCGCGCCGGAGACTGGCAAAAGTACCGGACGTGCGTTGTCCCGTGTGCTCTTCGTTTTTTTTTCCTGTCGTGCCAACCTCCTCGGCCGTCACGTGTGTAGAAAGCATCCAAGCGCGTCTTTGTAGAGGAGAGTGATCAACACAGACGTGTGCCCCCTCAAGCTGCAACTGGACACCTCCCCTTTCCCTCTCGACGTTGCCCGCGGAAGTGATAGAGATCACGATAGAGACGAAATTGTCTCTCCGACACTCCACGCGTTCGAGTTTTTGGGATTGAGTGGGGTTGAAATGATGACCACCGCCGCGTTGCGTTGGTCCTTGGGTGGGTGTCGAAGTAGTCCCATCCTCACCCGTGCGTGAGCGAGGGTGCCTTCAAAGCTGAGCAAAGGTGTTACAAGGTTTCGAAGCGGAACGTCCAGGGCAGTAGAATTCTTCAGCGTATCCGCGCGGTGCAGGGCCGGAGATGCCTACAGGAAATCTCTCGCTGTGTTCGCAGATAAACGGGGTGTATGGGGGGAGTCTCTTCAGCTTTATGTTGTTGTGCGTTTTTTTTTTGGACGCGATTGACTTGCGTTCGGGGTTTGCTTGGGACTGTCAACGGCCGAAGAATTGACGAGGGATTTCGCCGAGGTGAGGCGGTGGCATGGGGTTCCAACGCGGTGAGGAACACCGTGCTGAGCAGAAGCATGGCGTTGAGAACGGGCGTTTTTGTCCTTGTTGAGGGCCTGGAAAGCGACGTCGAAGCCACAGGTGAAGGTAACCAACAACGATTCGTTGGCAATGGGTCCTCGTCATTAGAGCCGAGATTCACAATGAAGAGTTGAGAAACTCCCCAAAGTTTACTTTGCTTTTGCCGGATGCTCAAAAACCCAGGGTGCCACCCGCACAACGTTGTGGGGCTGAAGAACGCAAGATATTCAAATCAGAGACATGAAGCTAGACCTCTGTTCCAACCAGATAATCACTCGCGTCTACATGAAGAACAGTTCGTGAACATACCGGCCAGCCAGTGTTCGAAATGCCCGCAGCGTGTACGCCTCAATTTACACCGCATTTCAGCGTCACAGTCGACTTCATCCCCGAACGTACAGTACCTGAACTCGTTCGGCAGACCCTTAAAACAGGCACACAGAAACCAAACATCGGATGTACATTGGTTTCCTTCCAGGACCCCGCTCGGTGAGCTAAAATGAACTCGTAGACCGTAGAGGAACAATAACTATCTACTTTCACAGCACATCATCAAGTTGTCCGCGGCGCCGACATACCCTCTTCGTTGCTTCAATCCAACGCGGCTGCCCGCCCCCCCTGCCCGAAATCGAAGACGCCATTTCCTCGTGATGTTGTGTGCGCCGGTTGATACCATGCAGCCGCTGCGAAACAACAGATACCCACCGTTTACAACCGCCGAACCTGCATCCAGCCAGTGAAATCAGTCAATGCCGGTAACACTGCTGCATTCTTCCTCTCTAACCGCCACGTCGACTTAACTCCTGCGAGATGAGCTTCGTTATGGGTGGATGCTAACCGCTTTGGAACCCCCCCACGAAACACGTGTGCTGCCTCTACTCCGGCGGGAAAGAAACTCTTCGCCCACGACGAGCTTGGGACGCAAACCCTAACCCGCTGCCAACTCCGGGGTGAGATTCCCTAATGCAGTGGCATTTGAATACGAGGTCGTTTCCCTATTTGCGTGGGGGGGGTTCCCGGGCAATTTCAGGTTGAGGTTCCCTAATGCAGAGGTTCCCCAACGCAGTGGCTGTTGAATACGAGATTGTATCCCTGTTTGTGTAGGGTTCCCGTGGCAATTTCAGGTTGAGGTCCCCTAATGCGGAGGTTCTCTCACGTGCAGTGGCATTTCGAATACGAGGTTGCCCTGTTTGTGTGGGGTTCCCCTGGCAATTTCAGGTTGAGGTCCCCAACGTTGGTGGCGGTGAGGTTCCGTAATGCAGAGGTTTCCCTTGCACTTTTCTGGGAAACGGTCCCCTAGTGCAGAGGTTCCCTAATGCACTGTAGTTGCAATGCACTGCAACCCTCTGAAGTCAGCTCCACGTTAAGCACCGAACCAAACATGTCGGTGACGCGAATCTGGCAAAACTATGGTGCATGAAAGAAACGCGGCAGGATGCATGACAAGGGCCGCGGGGTAAGGTCATTTTGGGGGGTAGAGGGATTCTGCGCGCTCAGGAAAATATCGCTTCTACATCATGGAGCGTAGTCAATGTCCAGCCTAGTGTAGTTGCCTAGTGGCTGAGGGAGGCCCGCAGCTTCAATCCACCTCGTCCGAACCATTCCTGCTGCGTGGCTGTGTGACTGTGTGGTTGGCTGTGAAGGCTGCGCGGGTGAAAGAACCTGACCAATCGGATCCACCCTTGGACCCCACACACACGAAGTATTTCACTTGTCGATCGTCGCCGTTAGCGCCGCTTTCAGGGGCTCATGAAGTTCAACAAACGCGCCCGACACCCTCGGGACAAATAGATATGAGTATTGGCGCTCTGCAGCAAGCACGGGATAATCGTGGTTGCTTCGCTATGATGCGCCCGAAGGGGTGTAACGTTCGTGTTTCCGAAAAACATGTCTCTCCGCTGGAGACTAGTCCCTGCAAGCCACATCCCAAGCACGGGTTGCACGTGCCGGGGGGTGGGAGGCGGCTTACGATGGATGGTCACACCCGGGGTTCGCTGCAGTGGTGGAGCAACGTATGATGCCGCGGGTAGTGCTATATGTTCGTCCGCAGGATGGGTTTTCTCTCGGTGGGTGACAGATAAATCAAGAAAGAACATTTCCAATGATTCCCGGTGCTGCGCAACTAGTCTGTGATCTCGATCGAATATTTAGTGCGGGACCTTCGTAGATTTTGGCAGACGATAGCCGTTTTTCGCGGACACGGGATACCTATCCCGCTCATTATTGTGGGGTGTGCAGTGTCTACAGTGCTCGAGAAGACCATACGTATTTGACCAGGCATTTGACCAACTTTATACGCCCTGGGTCGTCCTGTTCTCGGTTGGCTTTGTGACCAAACTCGATTCACCCCCTAGACCTAACCCTGCGGGAGCGATCAAACTACACGCTTTTTCGAGGCTTTCGGCGTCGTTCTATCGTGAGTGACACCAACACCCACCACCACCTTGACGAGATTGGCACCACATTTTACTACTGGTTTTGCTGCTGCAGCTGCTGCTGCTGCTGCAGTGGTCGCACTCGAACCTTCGACGCTTGCGGTCATGAGTATGTCATGGAACAATAAGCGTCAACGTACCAGTTGTAGAGCACGGAGTACAGTCAAGGCTACACCAGGTTCTTCACAAAATGGAAGCCTTGCAAAAAACAACTCGTCCTTGTCACAAATTCAGCAACGTTGTATGTAGGGTAAAGGATTTGCACAATTATTTGCAGCTTTATCATGAGCCGCGGAGCGAGAAGCGCGACATTTTTTTCCTTCATCCTCAGGAGAGAAAAATAGGGTCTAAAATATCGGGCTCTTTCAACCATCGCGCTGTAGAGCGACCCTTCCGCAAAACCCCCAGGGTAATTGTATCTCAAAATATTATCTCTTGACATATTTGACGAACGAGGTCTGTAGAGCACCGATAATTCATGATCTGCCGGGCTGTGAGGGGAAATCTAATTAGGGCACATCTTCGTCACACCGGTGTCATCGTGCTCTGACAACAGATGGCCGTGCTTGACACGGCATTTGTTACCAAAATCATCGAAACGTCCCCGGGAGTTGGACGAGAGGTAAAGGAACACTAAAGCAGAGATCTCCTACACGCACACACGAAGCAGTTAGTTGCTCGGTTTCCAACCCGGGGGAAACAGAGGAAGCACTCAGTAAGCTAAACACGCAACACCGCTGGGGGGGGAAGACTGCATTGGCGAGGGAAGGGAGCCACACACACAGCTCGTGGCGGGCATGATCGCCACTGCTGTTCCTTTGGCGTGTGGGGAGAGGGATCATCGTAAAACGAAACATTTGAAGCCATATTCGAAAAAGTTACACCTTTAGAGTAGTCAGCGAAGTAGCCAGCGCTGACTAGTCTAAAGGTGTAACTTTTTCGAAAAAAAGATATAGACTAGACGATATCCTCAGAGCTCATTTGCACCCGCCGGGATCACTTGGGTTTATGGCTTGATCACTGGGATTGAGAGTAGAGATCTCCGGGGACGGACCCCTCGTCAGACGCTGATAGTTCTAGGTGCACATTTTGCAAAGAAAAGTGATCCGGCCGGTATTCGACCTCGTGCGTGAACCGTTCATCGCCAAAAGTTAAGCCATTACAGAAGCCAGCGAGTGTTAGGACAAGTCAGGGCTGACTTGTCTAACGGTATAACTCTTGCCGATAAAGGGTTCACGCACGAGGTCGAATACCGGCCGGATCACTTTTCTTTGCAAAATGTGCACCTAGAGCTATCAACGTCTGACGAGGGGTCCGTCCCTGGAGATCTCTACTCTCAATCCCAGTGATCGAGTCATAAACCCACGTGATCCCGGCGGGTGCAAATGAGCTCTGAGCAAATAGTCTAGTCTATATCTTTTCTTCGATAAAGTTATACCTTTAGACTTGTCAGCGCTGGCTACTTCGCTGACTACTCTAAAGGTGTACCTTTATCGAATAGGCCACCCCCCCGCCTCCCCGGAGGGAGGGGGAAGAAATTCGAAAAGTTGCCATGAATCGTTTACTCTGAGGTTGCAGTAGTAGATGGATGGCAAACGTGCCTCACTCTCGTTACCCGTTCTGCATCTACCTTCTCATCATCGATGTCGGCCCATACTTACCCAGCCGTGCCACTACAGAAATACACGGAAACATCCAGCCTGGTTCGCGTGGCACCTACAGAGGTATCTACCAAGAGAGTACAGCAGTATAGGTCAAAGCTCGAAATCACTCCAATTCAATTGGAACAGGTCATTGACTCTCCCTTCTTCCCCTCGCTCCTCGGCAAGCTTTTGCTTAGACATGGGTTGTAGCGAAGGTGGGGGTCTTTCTGGCGAGCAGGGCTAGACTCACCCTCAAGGGATGACCGAAACCTTCTTGCTGCTGCGCATCCGCCGCGAGGCGTGCGTGTGGTGGTGGAGTTGGGTCGGCACTGATGGGGTCAGGCGGGAAAATGTAGATGCGCGGGCCTTTCTGGCCGTCGGCGTAGGCAGTGATGCCCATCTCATTTTTGTGCGCGGAGGCAGACACTATCAGAAAGGTGGACGGGCACTACACGGCCCTAGGTTTGCTAGAGGGAGCTGT